GGGTCCTCAGCACCAGTAGCAGCTCCACCGTCCGAGTCCTCAGCACCAGCAGCAGCGCCACCCCCAGGGTCCGCAGCACCAGGAGCACCACTCCGAAGACTGCAGCGCCGTGTGTACCACTCGCGGATCTGCTGAATGGGGGGGAGCTCCTGGGTAGGAGGGGAAGTACCGGGACGAGCTCCAGTAGCACCTCTCCGGAGGCGGCAGTACTCGAGGTACCTCTCCTGCAGCTGCTGGGAGGAGAGGGCTCCTCCAGGTGTAGCACGCTCAGGCTCAGCACCCCCAGGCTCAGTACCCCCAGACTCAGCACCCCCAGGCACAGCACCTCCAGACTCCGTACCGCCAGGCTCCGCACCTCCAGACTCAGCACCCCCAGGCTCCGCACCCCCAGACCCAGCACTCCCAGGCTCAGCACCCCCAGACGCAGCACCCCCAGGCTCAGCACCCCTAGACGCAGCACCCCCAGGCTCAGCACCCCTAGCAGGACGAGAGTCAACAGCTACCTCGACAGGCTCACCCGGGTCTACCTGGGACACACCTGAGGGAGCGGCACCCTGAGGGGGGAGGGGGTCTGGTACCTCAGCACCTGGAGCGAGGAAGAGAGGCGGGGGGGGGAGCGGGGCAGTGCGGTAGGGGAAGAGGCGGTAGTAGGGGACGGACTCGTCAAAAGTGACGTCCTGAGAGGCCAGGACACGACGCGAGGTGGGGTGGTAGAACTGCCAGCCAGGGGCGTCCGGGACAAAGCCAAGGAAGACGCAGGGGACAGCGCGACGGGAGAGCTTGTCCGCGGACGTGTCGCGGACAAAAGCTCGGGATCCCCAGACCCGAAAACGCGACGCATCGCCAGCCTCTCCCGTCCAACGCAGTGTCGGAGAAGTCTCGGGCAAGGAGACACGGGGCCAGAGGTTGAGCTGATGCGCAGCGTATCGGACTGCAAACGGCCACAGAAAATGGGGGGCAGCCGCATGGCTCAAGGAGGTACGAGCGACCTCCATGACCAGACCAATGCGGCGCTCAGCAACCCCATTCTGCTGTGGAGAGGCCGGAAGCGTGAACGACTGCTCAATGCCCTCCTGCTGACAGAAGGCCTCCAATAGGCCAGAGGAAAACTCCCCACCTCTGTCAGAGTGCAGACGCAGGACAGGGAAGTCGGAGCGGAAACGCTCACGGAGCTGGAGACGAGATCTGCGGATCCAAGGGATCAAGACATCAGGGACGTCACCCTTGGCGCGCAAGGGGAAGACCGTGGTGTAGCGCGAGAAGTCGTCAACAACAATCAGGAAGTACCTCTCCTGACCCTGACCACGGACGCAGGCTGGGCCCCACACGTCCATGTGGAGCGTCTGCAAGGGAGCAGTCGTCGGGGGAAAGGAGGAGGAGTGAGGAGCGGCGCGCTGCCGTCCCTCGACACAGGGAATACAGGGAGGAGCAGGCGAGTCGGGAAGGGGAGGGAGCACCCTGGGAAGACCAGCAACAAGGTCCCGTTTGTGCATGGCCCGAAGGCGCTGCACAGACGGGTGACCAAGGCGGTGGTGCCAAAGGACAGTCTCATGCGCCAGAGAGCGACACGAGCAGGGGGCGGACAGCTGACCTGACGCAGACGCAGACGCGGACGCAGCTACCTGAGGGGACTCAGTGGTCAGTGTGTAAAGGTCCGACCCCGGCTCCCGAGTGAAGGTAGCCAGGTGGCGACCCGTCCGAGCACACGTGCAGTGTGTCACGCGCTCGTAGGCAGGGGTGAACTGGTGAACACCCCCGTCCTGGAGCGCACTACCTGCCACCAAGTTCGTAGAGAACGAGGGGAGGTAGAGACCTGACAGCGTGCCGGACGGGACCGCCGGACAAGGAAGGACAGTGGAGGAGGTCGCAATGACCGGACCCCCAGAGGGGTCAGCCAGGGAGACAGCAACTGGCCGAGCGAGTGGCTCAAGGACAGTGCGGTCACGAAAGAAGGAGCGAGAAGCCTCTGAGTCCAGTGTGAAGGTGTGCAGTGCTGCAGTCGACTCAGTACGAGGGGGCACGGACGCACGAGCACCTAGGGCTGCAGCCTCACCAGGACCTGTGGGAGCAGACGCACTAGCACCTAGAGCGGCAGCCGGACTGGCCTGAATGCCCGGGTCGGGCGGAACACGCAAGTACTGAGCACCCTCTCCACTAATAGACATCGCATACATGGCAGTGAGAATAGCATCAAAGTCTAAAGCCCAAATATCAACACCCCTCTTTTCCAGATCAGCCCAGCGCGGCAGCTCAGTGGCAGCAGGAAACTGAGTGCGCCACGCGTCGTTAAGGCGCGCGAAGCAGCGCTGCGTGGGGTGCGGCCTCCCACACTGCTGGCCGCTGCGGTCACCTGTGCGAATGACGTACGTGCAGATAACGCTACGCTGCGCATACCACTCACGGGCGGCCTGAAGCGTCGGGGCGGGCTGCTGACTCTGCCCTCCGCCAGTGCCTCCACGACCACCACCCCCACCGCCGCCGCCCCGGCCACCTCCACCCCTGCCGCCGCCACGACCACCTCCGCCTCCGCTGCCGCCTCCACCACCACTCCCACCGCTGCTGTCTCCTCCCCCACTGCCGCCACTAGTCTCCCCAGCCGCGCCTCCACTCCCACCGCCTCCACCCCCACCTCCTCCGCCACCACCCCCACCCCTGCCCCCCTTGTTCCTGCGGCGCCCGCTCGAAGCAGACGCGGTCCCGACCTTCTCAGCACCAAGAAGGTCGACAGCAGCAGCAGAGGCGACAGAGGGGAGGAGGGGGGAAGGGGAACACCCCTCAAAGAACGGGGTGCGGGGGTCGCCACGAGAGGTGCCTACAGCGACGATGCTCGCCTCAGCTGCAAGCAGTTCCTTCTCGAGGAGGGCAACAGTGAGCTCAGTGGGGGAGCGAGAGAGGAAGTGGTCCCTGACTGCGCGCAGAGAGTCAGGGAGGCGGGTGACGATGTGGTAGAGAGTGATCCAGAGCGGGGGGGGGGTTGCTAGTGAGAAACTCGGCAGGCATAGCAGCGCGAAAGCGGGCCTCACTAGTCTTAAGGTGGGTGATGAGGTCTGCGACAGTGTGAAAGGAGGCTAGGTCGGGGAACAGGTAGGGGAGAGTGAGGCGGCCTAGCGTGGCAGAAGCGGGTGAGGAGTTTCGGGCAACTACAGCGGTGTAGAGGTCCTTAGCAGTCTTGCACTGGCCGAAGTGCTCGCGCTCGTCTAGCGGCAGGGAGTTGCGAATAGCAAAGCGAGCATGCGCATCACGGGTCTGCCACTGGGAACGCAGAGTGCTGTCAGCAGTCGAGTCAGGGGCAGTGGCATGGCCTAGGGCGTGGTCGTACAGTGAGATGTCTTCCTTGGCAGTGAGCTATAGGAACAGGTGCAGGTCATCTAGCCAGGTTTCGAACTTCACCGGACGGCCCTCGGCATCGAAAGCTAGAACGGGAGGACTAGCCATAGCGACAGTAGCAGTAGCAGTAGTAGTAGGAATCAGGCCGCTGGAAAGGTGTGCGGAGGGTCAACGGGGCCGGCGGGGCCGCTAGGTAAGGCGCGGGCGGGGTCGACTGTCCGTAGTGGCACACGAGCGGCAATAGTAGGTAGCGTGGCAGCAGGAGCTGCAACGGCGCACTGGTGGTAGCTGTAGTGGTAGCAGTGTGCGCGGTAGGTAGTAAATAAACAGCAGTGAGAGCGAGTGCCTCGCGGGCGGCGGCTGCAGAAGCTCACGGCCGGCAGCGGCGCACGGGGAACGGTGGCGCACGGGCAATGGCGGCGCACGGGCAGCGGCACGCAAGCAGCAGCGGAAGCAGCGGCGTGCAAGCGGCTGCGGGCAGCGGGGCGTGCGCGAGCAGGCGACGGGCAGTAGCGGCGCACGGCAGTGGCTGCGGCGGCGGCAGCGAGCACGGCAGCAGCAGCAGCAGTGCACGGGCGGTAGTAGCGGCGGCAGCGGCTGCGGGCACGGCAGAAACGCGGGAGCGGCAGCGGGCGACTCGCGGGCAGCAGCGGCAGCAGCAGCGGGGGACCGGCGGGCGGCAGCTGCAGCGGTGCAAATCGCGGGCCGGCGGGGCCGCGGCGGGCTGTGCGCTAGCGACGCAAAGGCGTGCGAGCAGTGCGCGGGCAGTGCGACGGGGCCGGCAGCGGGCAGCACGCAGGCCGCGGGGGTAAAATGCGGGCTGCGTGCGCGGTGCGCGGGCCGGTAGCGGGCGGTGCGCGGGCCGTTAGGGGCGATCGCAAGGCCGACGGGGCCGCTAAGGGGCGAGCGGCGGGGTCGTTCGAGGCGCTAAGGGGCGGCGCGACGGGGCCGTGAGGGGCCTCTAGGTCAAATGCGACGGGGCCGCGGGGCCTCTAGACGGGGCTCGATCGACGGGGCCAGCGGGGCCGAATAAAAAATAATGAAGCGCTCGAGGGCGCTACGGGGGAGGCGCTAAGAACGCGCTCCGGTAGTAGGTAGGTAGTTAGGTAGCGAACGGTGGGCCCTTAGGAACGGTCCTAGAGAAGGACCTGCTCTGAAACCATGTCGTAATAACAGACTGGAATGACTGAACTAACAAGGAAGGCAGTACAAATAGTAAACCCTAGAGATCTGTACCCCATATGGTCTAACCAACTGTAGCCTAACAACAACCAACACATATAATGTTTGACATACATTCCCTTATTCAAATTCACCCCTAACCGTGCGGCGCGTACAGTTACGAAACTGTTCGCTCCCTTTTCCTCTTGCCTGCAGCTGCCGATGCCGTCTGCTCCGACGGTCCAGATCCTCCCAACTGTCTGACGCTTCGAGTCAATTCTGACTCTTCAGATTCGTTCTCGTTACTGCGTGTTTCCTTAGCTTTGGTGAGGAGTGCACAGTAATGTTCAGACATTACTATTCGTAACACTTAATAGATCTATTTTCTTTCACAATATTGTTTTTTTTGCCTAATAGAATATGCTAATGTCTTGAGATTATCGGGGCTGGTGTTTTAGAGAGGCTGTAAGGCGGGGATGAAAGAAAGACGCGCGAATTGGTTTGCAGATGACATGGACCATATGATTAGTGAGAAAATACGTTGGAACGACAGGCTGGAAGGACATGTAGTTGGAATTCACGCGGGAAATCACCCAAGCTGCGATATTTCTTGCACTGCCAGGGAAAGAAACACACTTGTCATCTTTCTTGGTGTGATTGGCTAGTCAGTGAGGTGGATGTCGGGTTGAACTGAAATGGCTTGACGAGATTGGCTTGCCAGGATCATGCAGTAAAAGCTGCCGGGGCTGCGCACAGCTGGTTCGGGGTCAGGTACGGGTTCGGTAAGCTGGCCAATTGGCTCTGCGAAATGTATTTCCAGGCAAGTGTCAACCGAAGTTCAGCGTTTGGCAGCTCTCCTCCCAATCTGTCCCGAACCGACGCGCCATCATTTTCGAATTGCCACCGAATTGCCTTCTACCGAATTTGGGAAGGACCCGTTTGGGACGCTTCGCGACCCGCGGAACCTTCTAGTAACACCAGGGTTACTGCCTTTGTGTCGAGCCTATATATAGCCTCGCCTTGTACCCAGATCCTCACACTCTTTTTCCTGCGCTCCTTCCTGCTCTCCTTCGCTCTCTTCTTCCTGCGCTCCTTCCTGCTCTCCTTCGCTATCTTCTTCCTGCGCTCCTTCCTGCTCTCCTTCGCTCTCTTCTTCCTGCGCTCCTTCCTGCTCTCCTTCGCTATCTTCTTCCTGCGCTCCTTCCTGCTCCGCTTCGTTCTCTTTTTCCTGTGCTCCTTCCTGCTCTCCTTCGTTCTCTTCTTCCTGTGCTCCTTCCTGCTCTCCTTCGTTCTCTTCTTCCTGCGCTCCTTCCTGCTCTCCTTTGCTCTCTTCTTACTGCGCTCCTTCATTCTCTTCTTTTGCTCTCTTCTTCCTGCGCTGCTTCCTGCTCTCCTTCTCTCTCTTCTTCCTATGCTCCTTCCTGCTCTCCTTGCTCTCTTCTTCCTGCGGTCCTTCCTGCTCTTCTTTCTCTCTCTTCTTCATGCACTCCTTCCTGCTCTCCTTCGCTCTCTTCTTCCTGCGCTCCTTCGAGCTCTCATTTCGCTCTCTTCTTCTTGCGCTCCTTCCTGCTCTCCTTTCGCTCTCTTCTTTCTGCTCTACTTCCTGCTCTCCTTCATTCTCTTCTTCCTGCGCTCCTTCTTGCTCTCCTTCTCTCTCTTCTTTCTGCGCTCCTTCCTGATCTCCTTCTCTCTTTTCTTCCTGCACTCTTTCCTGCTCTCCTTCGCTCCCTTCTTCTTGCGCTCCCTCCTGCTCTTCTTTCCCTCTCTTCTTCCTGCGCTCCTTCGCTCGTCGCCAGAGCTGCCAGGCTGGCCCGTGCTACCAGTCTGGAGGCAGGGGAGGAGGAGGAGGAGCGTGAGGAGGGGAGGGAGGAAGAGGAGCTGGGGCATATGGGGAGAGAAGGCAAGGGGGAGAGAGTAAGGAGGATGAGTATGCTACCCTGGGAGGGGGGAAGGGAGTGGGTGAGGAGGTGGGAATACTAGCATCGCTCAAGCAGCAGTGGCAGCGAAACGTGGAGTACGCAAGAGAAGCAGCAGAGGCAAGGCAACAAGCAGAGAGGCTCTTGAAAGACCTGCCGGCGCACTACACCAGAAGCAGCACCACACAGCAGGGCCAGTAGGAGCAGCCTGTGCCTGTGAGGGAGGTGCTGTGGAAGAAGGAATCAGAGGGACGTTCAGGAGGAGGTTTTGGCAGCGAGAGAGGAGATTTCCCGCGTTGTTGGCGCTTTCCAGGAAGCTTCGCTTGCTGGTGTTTCGGAGCGGGCGGCGACGGACCAGGCCTGTGCTGACGTGGCAGCGATGGCAGCTTAAACAGGGCTTTTTCCCGAAGTTGACTCTACCGTAGGTTCGGGTGCGTCGGTCGATGGCTCCGCGGGAGGTTCGGCGGAAGGTCCAGGAGGGGGGACTGAGTTCCTGCTCTGGGGGAGCCTGTGCACGTGAAGAGGTTCGGCACGAGTATGCGCGGTACAGTTGTTGCAGTGGGTGGGGGTCAGGGCGAAGGCTCGGGAGAAGGTTTAGGTTCGGCAGCAGCGGCCCATTCGGTGACGGTTCAACTGGGGAATCTGAGAATGCAAGTGCAAAGAGCCGACCTACTTCCTGCTGCTGATGGCAGTGGTGATTGTGGGCAGAGCAGAACAGATGGGGAGGCAGGAAGGAGAGGGGACACAGGAGGGCTGTTTGGCAGCCAATGGGAGCAAGATGATAACATTAACAATAACAGCAACACGAATAGTACCAGGGGATTGAAGCGTGGTGGTCAGTTCCCCTCCCCATCCTCCTCTTCCACTCCACTACCTGCAGTGAGAGAGGCAGAAATACAGACAGCGCGAAACATAGTGGATGTGAGAGGGCGCAGTGCAGAGGATGCATTAGCAACAGTGGACCTAGCAGTGCAGTCCAGCCCGCCTGGTGCCGTGCTCTTCATTGTGCATGGGCTTGAGACAGGAGTGCTTCGGGCAGCTGTGCTGAAATATCTTTCGGGCAGCCCGCTAGTTTCGCGGCACGAGGCGGAGAGCAGATTGAATATTGGGTGTACTATTATTTACATTGGGTGAGGAGAGGGTTTGTGTTGTGGTTGCAGTGCTTCCCGTGGGAAACAAGGCAACAACACGTCACTCCACTACGGAAACTTCAGCAACACATCACTCTACTAGGGCACGGAAGGCACTTGGCAAGTTGCAACTAGAGGAGTCCGACATGTTCATTGCCTAGAGTAGCAAACTCATGATTGTTCTTGCCCGGTGTCCTGTTCGAGCCTGGTGTGCAGAGCAGCCCTGATAACCAGCAGCTCATTGCCAGCTCGCTGGGTACTCTGGTCAAGATGATAGGTAACATGGATGAGCCAGTCACACCGCGTCAACTCGTTGCCACTTGCCAGATTGTTGCGGGCGTCCCTTTCTCCATGCTTGGTCACGTGTTAGCCCAGTATTTGTTCATGGCGAGGCGATGGTGAACTCGATAGTTCAAGTCAACCCTACCTAAGTTTGAGATGGTATCTAGAGCAGTAGGTCTTTAGGACCTAAGTTCGGGCCCACCCGTTACCGCATTACCTCACCTTCGGCCTTACCTGCCTGCCTGACCTTGCCTGCCTGTCTGCCTTGCCTGCTGCCCGCGCGCGCCTCGGCTGCGCGCGCGCGGAACTTTTTTTTTAGCGCGCGCTGCTGCTGCCAGCCGAGTCGCGCCCCGCAAGTCGCCGCGCAGCCCGCCCTGAGCCCGCGCAGCCCGCGCGCGGCCCGCAGCTGCCCCGCGCACCGCCCACGCAGCCCGCGCCGAGCCCGCACAGCCCGCACTGAGCACGCGGCCCGCGCACCGCCCGCGCAGCTCGCGCCGCGCCCTGCCAGCCCGCGCGCGGCCCGCCGCTGCTCTGCGTGCCTGCCTGCCTTGGGTGCCTGCCTGCCTTGAGCGCCTGCCTGCCTTGAGCGCCTGCCTGCCTTGAGCGCCTGCCTGCCTTGAACGCCTGCCTGCCGGGAGTGCGCCTGCCTATCTTGCGCGCCTGCTTGCCGCCTAAGTCTGCTGCCTTTGCCTACTGCCGGTTCCTGCTGCATTTCTCTGCACTGCGACTATGACGACGCCTCATATTCTCGCGTTTGAGCCTGACGGTAGCCCGATCGAGTTCACAGTGTGGCTCGACGATCTCCAACTGTTTCTTATGACTGATGCCAAAGACGGAGTTTCCCTGTTCGCTCACGCGTCTGGCACTGCCCCTGAACCTGCTGCTGATGCCCCTGCGCTCGATCTCTCACAGTGGCAGACTCGCGATGCTGCTGCACGCCTCGCTATTCGCAATCACCTGCCGATCCCCGAGCGCGCGCATTTTAGCCAGCACAAGACTGCTAAGGCACTGTATGACGCTGTAGTTGCGCGCTACTCCTCCCCGGCCACTGCAGCCCTAGGTCGTCTCATGCTACCTGTTCCCCGACCTGTCCTCCTTTCACACTGCTGAGGACCTCGTCGCTCAGCTATGCGCTAGTGACGCTCGCTTTCGGTCCGCCCTTAAGGACGAGTTCCTCGCCAAGAACACCCCTCCGATGTACTTTACGCCCTGCTTCCTTGTCACCCGGCTCCCTGACACCCTTCGCTCGGTCAGGGACCACTTCCTCGCTCTGGACCCTACCGCTCTCACCATCGACGACTTCGCGACGCAGCTTCTCGCAGCTGAGAAGAACATCCTTGCTGTGGGTGCGGCTCGTGGCACTCCTCGCACTCCCCTCTTTGAGGGGTGCTCCCCCTCCCCCCTTACCCCCTCCCACGCCTCTGCTGCTGCTGCTGTCGACTTCCTTGGTGCTGAGAAGGTCGCAGCTGCCTAGTGGGAAGCGCAGCGGCCCCAAGGGAGGCAGAGGCGGCAAGGGTGGTGGAGGTGGCGGTGGAGGGGGCGGTGGTGGAGGCGGCGGGGGAGGTGGAGGTGGTGGGGGTGGTCGTGGGGGTGGAGGTGGTGGTGGGGGCGGCGGTACCTGGAGCAGTGGCGGTGGGAGCGGCGGTGGTGGGGGAGGAGCCGGTAGTGGTGGCAGCGGCGGTGGCCAGGGACAACAGCAGCAGCAGCAGCCGCAGCAGCAGCGCCAGCACCAGGCCCCCTCGTCCCAGCAGCTCCATGACTGGTATGCGGGGCGTGGGGCGTCTGGGGGTTCTGTTCCCTGCACCTACATCATTCGAGCAGGTCCCCGCGCTGGCCACCCATGCAATGGTCCACACATTGAGTATCGCTGCTTTGCTAGGCTTAGTGACGCCCGGGGCGTCAAGTTTCCTACGGCAGCTGAGATGCCCAACTGGGCAGATCTGCTTAGGCGTGGTGTTCCTATCTTTGATCTTGACTATGATGCTATTCTTGCTGCCATGTATGCATTGACTGTTAGTGCTGAGGGTGACTGCTACTTGTGTATGCCGCCTGATCCAGGTATAGGGGCTGCAGCCCTAGGTGCCAGTGAGTCTGCTCCCCCTGGTACTGCGTCGGCTCAGGCCTTGCACACGTTTACACTTGACTCTGGTGCTTCCCGCTGTTTCTTTCGCGATAGCACCACCGTCACTCCCCTCCCTGCACCTGTCCCTGTCTCACTGGCTGACCCCTCTTGGGGCCCAGTGCTTGCACGAGCCACGACTGTGCTTCCGTGCCCGGCGGTCCCGTCTGGTGAGCTGTCAAGCCTCCACATTCGTTCGTTCTCCACGAACCTGGTGAGCAACGCCGTCCTTCAGGACAACTGGATTAACACCTTTACTCCTGGAGGACAGCGTGTGGCGATCCTCACGTGCTCCAAGACTGGCCGCCACCTGGCCACGTTCACTCGTGAGCCTGGGTCCAGTCTGTACACCCTCACCACTGTTTCACGCTACACCCCTTTGTCTCCTCAGCTGTACGCGTCTGCCCAGGTAGCTACCCAGTGTGAGTGTCGCCGCCTGTCGCACGACACTCTCCTGTGGCACCACCGCCTTGGTCACCCCTCCTTGCCTCGCCTTCGTGGCATGCACTCTCGCTCCCTGGTCTCTGGTCTTCCCAGGTCTCTGCCTGCCCTCCCTCCCTCACCTGCGCCGCCCTGCATTCCTTGCGTCGAGGGGCGGCAGCACGCCGCTCCTCACTCCTCCTCGTTCCCTCCCACAGAGGCTCCGCTGCAGACTCTTCACCTGGACGTGTGGGGCCCAGCCCGCGTCCAGGGTCAGGGCCGCGAGCGGTACTTCCTGCTGGCAATCGACGACTACACGCGCTACACCACGGTCTTCCCCTTGCGACGCAAGGCGGATGTCCCTGCTGTTCTGATCCCTTGGATCCGCGCTGTGCGTCTCCAGCTCCGCGAGCGGTTCGAGCGGGACTTTCCTGTCCTGCGTCTGCACTCTGATAGAGGTGGTGAGTTCTCCTCCGACCTCTTGGCAGCCTTCTGTGCGGAGCACGGCATCACCCAGTCGTTCACGCTTCCGGCCTCTCCGCAGTAGAATGGGGTTGCTGAGCACCGCATTGGCTTAGTCATGGAGGTCGCCCGTACCTCCATGATCCATGCGGCGGCTCCCAATTTTCTGTGGCCGTTTGCGGTCCGGTACGCCGCGCATCAGCTCAACCTCTGGCCTCGTGTCTCCTTGCCGGAGACCTCGCCCACGCTGCTGTGGACGGGGGAGGTTGGCGATGCGTCGCGTTTCCGGGTCTGGGGTGCTCGTGCCTTTGTCCGCGATCTCACCGCGGACAAGCTCTCTGCTCGCGCCATTCCCTGCGTCTTCCTTGGTTTTCCTCCTGACGCGCCTGGCTGGCAGTTTTACCACCCCACCTCGCGCCGTGTCTTTGCGTCTCAGGATGTCACCTTTGACGAGTCCGTTCCCTTCTACCGTCTCTTTCCCTACCGCACTGCCTCTCGCCCCCCCCCCGCCGCTCTTTCTCGCTCCAGGTCCTCCCCAGGTAGACCCCCTCCCCGCGCCAGGTCCTGCTCCTTCAGGTGTTTCTCAGGTAGACCCTCCCGTACCTGCGCCTGTTGAGGTCACTGGTGACTCAGGTCCTGCTGGGGGTGGTCCTGCTCGGGGTGCTCTCTGTGGGGGTGCTGAGCCTGGGGGTGCGGAGCCTAAGCGAGGGGAGCCTGGAGGTGCTGAGCCTAGGGGTGCGGAGTCTGTGGGTGCTGTGCCTACACGTGAGGAGCCTGGAGGTATTGAGCTTGGGGGGTACTATGTCTCAGGGTGCTGAGCCTGCGCGTGAGGAGCCTGGGGGTGCTGAGCCTGACGGTGCGGCGCCTGAGGGCACTACGCCTACTACTGCGCGGTCTCCTTGGAGTAGCCGCCTACGTCCGCGTACACCTCTCACCTCACAGCAGCTGCACGACTGGTACGGTCGCCGTCAGGGTCGCGCTGCTGGCACTCGTAGAGGTACTTCTGCTGTCGTCGCTGGAGCTCGGAGTGGAGCTAGGACTTTGTCTACTGGAGGTGCTGGAGTCGCTGGTCCCGGAGGTGCTCGTACTGGAGGTACTGGAGCTGCTGGGGCTGGAGGTGATGCGTCTTGAGGTGTTGCTGCTGGAGACACTGAGGCTGGAGACCTTGGGACTGGAGGTGCCGGTTCTGGGGGTGTTGCTGCTGGAGACACTGAGGCTGGAGACCCTGGGACTGGGGGTGCCGGTTCTGGGGGTGCTGCTACTGGAGACACTGAGGCTGGAGACCCTGGGACTGGAGGTGCTAGTTCTGGGGGTGCTGCTGCTGGTGGAGCTGGTCCTGGAGGTGCTGGCGCTGGAGGTTCTGGCGCTGCTGGGGGTACTGGAGCTGCTGGAGGTGCTGGAGCTGCTGGTGCTGGTAGCACTGCACCGACTCGACTTTTCTTCGCTCCGCCGTCTCCGTCGTCTCAGCCACCGTCTGGCTCTGCCCTTCGCCAGGTTCTTGACCTCCCGTCTTTTACTAGTCTACAGTTACTGCCTGGCTCACCGCTGCCTGCTCCTTCTCTTGAGCGTCGTGAGCCTACGTCGCGTCCTGTCTCGCCTGTTCGTCCTCGTTGTACCATCCGTTCGTCGTGTTCCTCGTCAGCGTCAGCCGGCTGTCTCCGGCACACGTCTTGTCGCCCTTCGTCGTTCCACTGCTCCACAGCGTACTCCTCTACCTTCCCCCCCTGCGTCCTCTCTGCCTGACGTTGCGGACCCTGAGTCTGACGAGTTTCGTGCTGCACACCCTACTGTCACGCGTCTGTTAGCCGCTGTTGTCACTGACCCGTCGTTTGAGTCTACTGCTACGCCTGCCTTGGTTGCTGAGCTTGTTAACTTTGCTGCTGCCTGTCGTCTAGACTACGCCGCTAGTCTTGTGGCTGAGTCTGAGTCTGTCTGTCCTCCGTCTGTCGGGGGTGAGTGTGCTCTTAGCACGAACGTCCTTGAGGACAGGCACGAGGACCTTGAGTGTCTTGCAGCCGCTGCGCCCCATCTCGTGGCCATGCTGCTTGCCCCTGAGGGAGACCTGGATGCACCAGACATCCCGACCCCGCGCTCTTACGCTGAGGCGATCGCGGGTGAGTACTCCTCTCAGTGGCAAACAGCCATGGACGCAGAGATGGCATCCTGGAAGTCCACAGGCACTTACGACGATGAGGTTCCCCCTCGTGGGCCGAACATCGTCGATGGCATGTGGATTTTCAAGGTGAAGCGGCCGCCGGGTTCTCCGCCTGTCTTCAAGGCTCGTTACGTTGCTAGAGGCTTCAGTCAGCGTGAGGGAGTTGACTTCTTCCAGACCTTCTCCCCTACCCCGAAGATGACCACTCTTCGGGTGCTGCTGCACGTTGCCGCTCAGCGTGACTACGAGCTTCACTCTCTTGACTTCAGCACAGCCTTCTTACAGGGCAGCCTGCACGATGAGATCTGGCTGCGCCGCCCACCTGGCTTCACTGGGTCGTTCCCTCTTGGTACCCAGTGGAGCCTCCGGCGGCCAGTCTACGGTCTCCGCCAGGCACCTCGTGAGTGGCACGACACACTGAGGACTACACTTGCGGCTCTTGGGTTCGCTCCTTCGACTGCTGACCCGTCGCTGTTTCTGCGCACCGACACTTCGCTGCCGCCTTTCTACATCCTCGTGTACGTCGACGACTTGGTCTTTGCTACTGCTGACACTGAGGCTCTCGCCCTGGTGAAGTCGGAGCTACAGAAGAGACACACGTGCACTGACCTGGGTGAGCTGCGCAGTTACCTTGGCTTGCAGATCACCCGGGACAGAGCACGCCGCACCATCACACTGACTCAGTCACACATGGTGCAGCAGGTCCTTCAGCACTTCGGCTTCACTTGGTCCTCAGCATAGGCCACTCCGCTGGCTACAGGTCACTCGCTCTCAGCTCCACCTTCGGACGAGTCCGCAGAGTCGAGTGGTCCTTACGCAGAGCTAGTGGGCTGCCTCATGTACCTGATGACCTGCACTCGTCCTGACCTCGCGTACCCTCTTGGCCTTTTGGCTCGCTACGTGGCTCTTGGTCGGCACCGAAAGGTGCACATGGATGCTGCAAAGAGGGTACTGCGCTACTTGTGCAGTACATCGGGCATGGGGCTCGTGCTTGGAGGACGGAGCGACGTTGTCCTCACTGGGCACTCAGACGCTTCTTGGGTTGACGACCAGGCTACGCAGCGATCGTCACAGGGTTACACCTTCAGCCTTGGCTCTGGCTCTGTTTCTTGGCGGTCTACGCGCTCGTCTTCGGTTCTCAGCTCCAGTTGTGAGGCTGAGATCTACGCCACAGCCATGGCTGCACAGGAGTTACGCTGGCTCACCTACCTGCTGACTGACCTGGGAGAGAGGCCTCGTTCTCCTCCAGTTCTGTACGTCGACAACAAGGCCGCCATCGCCTTGTGTCAGGAGCACATACTGGAGCACAGAACGAAGCACATCGCTCTGCGTTACTTCCTGGCTCGAGAGTTGCAGCAGCGAGGTCAGCTTCGTCTTGCTCACGTGGCCACTCGGGCCAACGCTGCTGATATATTCACCAAGGCACTTCCGTCTGGTGATCATCAGCGCTTTTGTACTTTGTTAGGCCTTGTGCCTACGTTTCCGCACTTGCTGTAGACTTGCTTGTATTGTGATCTATATATATACCTGCATGCTTGCTCTTGCTAGGTAGTGATCACTGTTCTGTTGTTGTTGCATATATACCTCTGCATGTGAACTGGCCTTGTGGCCCTTTGCTTGTGCTCAGAGTGTGTGGTGACGTTGTGATCCACCCTGAGCTTGCTTTGCTTTTCTTGACTGGTCTTGTGACCTCTTGCTCTCCCCCACTTTGCCTATGGGGGTGTGTCAAACATATGCATATGTTATAATTGTTGGAAGGCTATATTGGGGTAGATACTGTGGGGTATAACCCCTTAGGGTTTCCCTTTTGTACTAATTCTCTCTACCTAAGTTTGAGACACTACACCCCTGGTTACATAGCTTAATAAATAAGTCATTTATGGACATCCCCACCCACACTAGCGCACCACTTCAGCACACCCACAAGCAAGGACACGCAATTTGCAACATGAGGAGGAGCATGGTGACACGTTTTATTCAGAGCTAGCTCTATAATGGTGGAACTGTGTCGGTGCCAAGCGCCAAGCGGCCAGGAAAGTCACTTCGCTGAAGAGAAGAAGGTCCCCTCCCCACTCGAACCATGTCGGGGTTGTCCCATGTCACACTTCCACTTTGTGCCTCTTCTCAACGCAAGCACCCCTCAGGGATTCGCCACCTTCTTATTTAAGCATCCCAAGTTTAGCAGTGAACTGTTGGCGCAACAAGAAGAAATATTAGAGGCTGATTTGCATGCTATGCCAAAGAATGACAGCATACAAAATGTCCAGTAGCCCAGCGCAAGCTTACCTGCCCCTGGTGCTTCTGGAAAGATATCGCGCTCACTCCAGTTTCGAGGCTCGAGTCATCTGAGAACAAAAGCCAGCAAAGTCAGCACCCATCAACCAAAGCATTCTCTACGCACACCGTGGTTGAAGGACAAGCACACTTACAATATCCACCAATTTTCCCGTTGAAAGCCATCCACTTGTTTCTCCCCGTGAATAGCTTCGCCCTGGCTGCATTCGGCATGGAATCGGACATCTCGCTTTTGACGTGAACAAACTCAAAAGACTTCGGGTTGTCCTTGGGCGTCCACACGGTTCCTCCGTTGGCCGTGTGATCGATACATTTTACCACATAGCAATTGAAATCACCTGCGAATGAAAGAGAAAAACAGAGCAGCAACAGAGTTCAGCCTTTGGCTAGATGAGGGGCAGACAAGATAAGAGTGTTACTCGAGCTACTACTCACCGGCACCAGGGTAATGCTCATGGTTTCCCTTGGAGACATACACAATGGGATGTGTTCCCATCACCGTAGCAAACTTCTTCTTTGACTTGCGGTCGGCCCAATCAGCCCCTTGGTCCCATGCCCACACGGGGCCGTCGCCGTGCTGCGCGTACCAAATGCGCTGCGGCTGGCCGGTCTTTGAGAATCGGATTGCAATCCCCACCAGGTCCGTGATGTGGTTCCCACCAAGGAGGTGGGCAAAGTTCTGCAAACGAGAAGGGTTGAACAGTTGAAACAGGTTGACAAAAGGAAGTACTTGAAAGCAGGGTACCACTTGGAATACTCACGTATGGGTAGAAGAGCCAATACTGAATCTCCACAAACGAGTTCTTGTCATCAGGTTTCGGATTGTAAATGATGGTGTAGAGCTTCGTGCCTCCATTCTTCGGGTTGCGCCTTGAGTCCTTCACCCAGGGGGTATACGAGTAAAACAGTTTCTGACTGAACAGGACAGTATTTTTAAACTCGCTCTTCAGATTCACATTCTCCAGCAATGTATTGAGGTTGTCGGGAGTGATCGGGCCCGCCTGGTATGTAACCTCCTGCTTTTTACCACCCGCAGTATAGAAACCTTTGGAGGCAGTCACGTGCGTGAGGTACTCGTCGATCGTGATTGGCCAGATGGTTTCGTCTGGGTGGAACTTGTACTGCGGCGAGTACTTGACGGCCACGTCCTCCCAGAACGGATCGCACGCGGGGTTTCTTTTCGGATCGGCCTTGCACGGGTCCACCTTTGCAGCAAGCATGCGCGGGTCCATGGAAAGGTGCACCTTTCCAGCTGGCATGGGGGAGAAGTTGAATGCGTTGCGAACCGCTGACGCAGGTGTCAGATTGAGAACCATCAGCACGACTAGTATCACCCATGCCAATGTAGCTGAAAGGAAACGCGCATCCGCCATCGTTTAGGTTGGCTGGTTGAAAGGAATGAATGAGTCACGAGAATGGCAACTCACGGCGGGACCTTCCCTTTTGAACGCCGCTAGGGCCAAGCCGCACTGCAGATCGGATCGCACACGAGGCAAGATCAGATTGAGTTGCGTCCGTCATCTGCTGTGCGGTCCGAGGCTCGTGTGTTCTGATGACAAGTATTGGTGACACCACGGCTTTAGTGATACCAATAACCGTAGGAACTCCGCCGTGAATCTCGTTCCCGCGGCGACGGTTGGTTCGGAAGGAACGAGATTCACGGCAGGCGAGACTCGCTGCGGGAACTCCGCTGGGCCACCGTACTAGTACTCTTGCATTTGCGATCAACTTGAATCATTTCCGTCAGTTTGTGCCGTAAGATCCGAAGTGACGCCTATAATTCTAGGAAAAAGACGGCCAGAGCGGCTGTATCAGGAACGTTGGTGATTGGTTTGTGGTGCGAATGGAATGGGGAAGAAATCGGCAGAGCACGTGTGTTAGCGGCAAGTGCGGGAAGAGAAGGCAAGTGAGCGAGAGCAATTCAATAATCGAGGAAAAAGACGGCCAGGAATGTTTGGTTTGGAGTGACAGGCGACACGACAAATCAAAGGTGCACGATGGTGGCAGGTGCAGTGTGGCGCGAAGTGGTAACATGCCCCCTGAGCAGATCCCGTTTTAGAGCAGACCTGTCGGGAGTGTCGTTCAGTAGATTCCAACACGGTTGAGCGCGGTTGTATTCAAATTACTGTTCTGGAAAACAACGCACGAAATCCGTGGGAGTAAAGCATTGCCGAAGGGAGGTGCGCAGGTTCCAGCGTGTACCGCGGTTTTTCATGTGGAACAGAGATGACGAGGGAGGACCAGCCTGGGGATGGCATTCGCGGTAGTTCGGAATTTCATCATCATCTTTTCGCTGCGCAGTTCGCTGTTTCATACACTCAGACGGGTAATACTCTGTGGCGAAGACGTTGGCAGAAACCGCAAACCGCGGCGATGTAGCAGTGACCCTATCGTACGCTCGAACCCCGATTCGCTGCGCGCCGAGGTCGCGGGATGGCTGCAGGATCGGATCGTGCAGGCGGACTCGCAATTCCGCAGCGGAATGTCCGGCGCGCCACGGCGGTTAGTGCCACGGCGGACTCGCAATTCCGCAGCAGCCATGCCTCCGCAAGACGCGTGGCTCAAGTCAACTGTGCTTTGATAACCAATCAAATCAAGGCACGTCTCAAAACATGGGGGTTTCTTCCTCGACAGGTGCCGCAGTTCGCCGTAGCTGGTTGTGCAGGGTGTGTGTTATCCCCACTGCTACCAATGCCACCACTGCCCCAAGCTTCCTGCTGCATTCTCACCTCACATGCTGCCATGTCTTGCCGTTTCCCATCCACCATGCCTTCTCATTTCCTCCCCATACACCATGCCATGCTCTGTGTTGTGTTGTGCCCTCTTTTCCATCCAACCACACTCCCAACACCTCCTTTTCCTCCCATCCAATCCGTCCCTCCCTCCCTCCTACCCCCCCTCATCCCCTTGTCCCTCCAATCTGACGATTCCCAAGTTGAGAATGCCAGTCCCGCATTCGTCCCAGTCTCCCTGCGCCCCTCCTTCCTGCATTAGCAGAGGTGGACCTAGCAGTGCACTCCGGCCGATTCTCGGTTTGAGACTGCCAGTGTCGCATTCAACCCAGTCTCCCTGCGCCCCTCCTTCCACATCCTCTGGGGTCTCCCCGGCACCTCCCACGCCCTCTCCCTCGCTGCCTCCCGCGGCCTGCCCCCCTCCCTCGTCGCCAGAGCCGCCAGGCTGGCCCGTGCTGCCAGTCTGGAGGCAGGGGAGGAGGAGGAGGAGGAGTGGGAGGAGGGGAGGGAGGAGGAGGAGCAAGAGGATGAGGGGGAGCGGCTGAGGGAGGAGGGGAGGGAGGAAGAGGAAGGGAGGGCATTCGGGGAGAGAAGACAAGGGGGAGAGGGTGAGGCAGACGAGTATGCTACCCTGGGAGGTGGGAAGGGAGTGGGTGAGGAGGTGGGAATACTAGCATCGCTCAAGCAGCAGTGGCAGCGGAACGTGAAGTACGCGAGAGAAGCAGCAGAGGCAAGGCAACAAGCAGAGAGGCTTCTGAAAGACCTGCAGGCAGCAGCACCACACAGCAGGGCCAGCAGGAGCAGCCTGTGCCTGTGAGGGAGGTGCTGTGGAAGAAGGAATCAGAGGGACGTTCAGGAGGAGGTTTTGGCAGCGAGAGAGGAGATTTCCCGGGTTGTTGGTGCTTTCCAGGAAGCTTCACTTGCTGGTGTGCCGGAGCGGGCAGTGACGGACCAGGCCTGTGCTGATGTGGCAGCTTTGACAGGGCTTTTTCCCGAAGCTGATTTTGCTATAGGTTCGGGTGCGTCAGTTGATGGCTCGGCGGGGGATTCCAGTGGGGCTGACTGGGTTCCTGTTCTGGGAGAGCCTGTGTATGTGAGGAGGTTCGGCACCAGTATGCGCAGTACGGTGGTGGCAGTGGGCGGTGATTCGGGAGACGGCTCAGGAGAAACAGCAGGTGGTCGGTCTGTGACGGTTCAACTGGGGAATCTGCGAATCTGCGATTGCAAGTGCTAAGAGCAGACCTGCTTCCCGCTGCCGATGGCAGTGGTGGTGGGACAGATGGAGAGGCAAGAAGGAGGGGGGGCACAGGAGGCCTGTTTGGCAGTCAACGGGAGCAGCGGCAACACAAACTCAAATAAGGCTCGCGCCTCGAAGCGTGACGGTCAGTTCCCCTGCAGCACGTTCCCATGCGCCTCCGCCCCCACCACCTGTGTCAAACATTATATAGATATATATATGTGTAGGCTACATTGGGTTTAGTTTTAGAGGGTACACAACATTAGGGTTTCATATTTGTACTCTTCCTCCTTGTTAGTTGAACATTCCTCTCTCCTTTCACATGGTATCAGAGCAGGTTCCCTAGTGGGACCATCTCTTCCTAGGGCCCACCTCAAGAACTTTTTTTTCTAGCTGCCCGAAGCGCCTTTGCGCCCTGCCCGGAAAATTTACGGCCCCTAAGCCGCCCCTTTGCGGCCCCTTAAGTGGCCCCTCGCGGCCCTCCCTCTCACGGCCCCTTCGTGGCCCCTCGTCGCAACCCCGTCGCGGCCCCTTCGCGGCCGTCGCGGCCCCCTTCGCGGCCCGTCGCGGCCCCTCCCCAGCCCGTCACGGCCCCTTCGCGGCCCGTCGCGGCCCCTCCCCAGCCCGTCGCGGCCCCTTCGCGGCCCGTCGCGGCCCCATCGCGGCCCTTTGCGGCCCCTTCCAGCTCTTCGCGGCCCTTCGCGGCCCTCGCGCGGCCCCACGCCGCCCTTTGACGGCCCTTCGCGGCCCCCTTTCACCGCCCCTGCAGCAGCCGCCCCTGGAGCAGCCGCCCCTGCAGCAGCCGCCCCTGGAGCAGCCGCCCCTGGAGCAGCCGCCCCTCTGCAGCAGCCGCCCCTGGAGCAGCCGCCCCTGGAGCAGCCGCCCCTCTGCAGCAGCCGCCCCTCTGCAGCAGCCGCCCCAGCCCAGCCGCCTCTGGCTCCTGAAGCAGCCGCCCCTGGCCCCTGGAACAGCCGCCCCTGCAGCAGCCGCCCCTCGCCCCTGCAGCGACCGCCTCTGCAGCTGCCTCGGAGCCCTCGCCCTGCAGTGGTAGCGGCCTCGCCGTTACTGCCATCGTACACCTGCCCTTCTCGCCACTGGTGAGCTTTGCCCTGTTGCTGCTACTGCTAGCCTACTGCTGCTGCTGTCATGGCTACTCCCGCTATCCTTACCTTCGATGCTGAGGGTCGTGCGATCGATTTTGAGGTCTGGCTGGATGATCTGCAGCTTTTCCTGCAGTGTGATAGCAAAGATGACCTCTCAATGTTCGATCTCACGTCTGGTGCCTCTACTGCCCCTGCTGCTGATGCTGACAGCACTACTCGCTCCCGCTGGAACACACGCGATGCTGCTGCCCGCCTTGCTGTGCGCAGTCATCTGCCCCCCGCTGAGCGCGCGCACTTTAGTCAATAAAAAACTGCTAAGGCCCTGTACGATGCTGTCGTTGCACGCTACTCCTCCCCTGCCTCTGCTGTCCTCTGTCGCCTCATGCTGCCGTACCTTTTCCCTGACCTCGCTGCCTTTGCTACAGTCGCTGACCTCATTACGCACCTCCGCACTAGTGACACCCGCTACCGTGCTGCGCTTCTTGCTGAGTTCCGCGCCCAGACCCCCCCCCCAATGTTCATCACCCTCTACTACCTAGTCACCCGGCTCCCTGACTCCCTTCGCTCGGTCAGGGACCACTTCCTTGCTGTCTGCCCTACCACTCTCACCGTTGACCTCCTCGAGAAGGAGCTCCTTGCAGCTGAGCAGAGCATAGTCGCTGTAGGAGCCTCTCGAGGTGACCCTCGTACCCCTGTCTTTGAGGGGTGCTCCCCCGTTCCCCTTTTGCCCTCTGTTGCCTCTGCTACTGCTATCGACCTCCTTGGCACTGAGTCGGTCGGCGCTGCGTCTGCCCCTAGCGGGAGGCGCCGCAACAGCAAGGGTAAGGGGGGCAAGGGAGCTGGAGGAGCTGGCGAGAGTGGTGGTGGTGGCGGTGGAGGCGGCGGAGGGGGCGGGGGTGGAGGTGGGAGTGGTGGCGGAGGTGGGGGCTCTAGTGGCAGTGGTGGAGGCGGAGTCAGCGGCAGCGGCGGCGGTGGGAGTGGAGGAGGTGGCGGTGGCGGAGGTGGCGGCGGTGGCAGCGGTGGAGGTAGTGGCGGCGGTGGCGGCGGTGGCGGCGGTGGAGGCGGTGGCGGCGGTCGGAGTGGCTCCGCGCAGCGAGGAGGCTTCGGTGGTGGCCAGCGTCAGCAGCAGCAGCGCTCTCGTGAGGCCC